GAAAAACTCACCAGCCATACAGAAATGACGGTCATGATCACATTTACCGTACCCATGCCAATTGTTGCATAAACGGCACTTTCGTTGCTAAGACCAGCCTGCTTGAAAATTACCGTCGAGTAGAACATCGCTACGTTGATACCTGAAATGTTAAATGATAATGGTAGCTTTAAATGACAATGATAACCTAGCCTTAAAGGCAAAACCCGCGATCATTTGTCATCACAGATAGTGGATTAGGAGTTTGCATACAGACAACAAGGTTCTGAATAACTCAATGGTGAAGAAAAGCAGAAAAAAACATGTCAACTGCCCTGGATAGAACCCCATTCCGATCCCAGTTTGTACGTGCCCAATTAACTCCATCTCCAACACTACGCCCTCATCCGCACAGCTGATTCCCCGATAAATACTCTACGACCGTACAAGTAACGATTTTCATGCTTTCCCGTCCTGCAGGTTCGTTTTTCGCCAAACGCGGGCCTTCGAGGCGGAGTCTGGAGGCGGAGTCACTGGAAAAAAGGAGGCCACTGAACCTATATTGCGCTATAGCGCCCCTCCCTTACAATTTTTTGCCGCGAAACCGGTACAAGGTTGTTCGTCGCGGACCACACTACCCTCCCGACGCTATATTCTCAGCTTCTATACCCAGGGTACAGCATCGTTGTGTGATACACATGGCGGTGTTGTACTTCTCCGCTGGGGAGGGGGGGGTCGTATGTGGCCTTGAGAGAAATTTGCCGCGTTGGGAAAAAATTTTCGGTTGGTTGTTGACTTTTGCGTGATTTTTCCTGTTTCTGTGTACTATTTACTTCCCCCCCCTCGTACAGCAAATTTTCGAGAATAGGGAATTTTTATGGAAATCGCCGAATAAAGTGCGTCGGGAAATTGGATAATTGAAGAAGTTTTCCGGGGGGGGGGGATGCGTGGCATTACTACACCGTCTCTCGGAGGGTCATACATACCACTATTTCACACATCACGATGCTGTGCCGTGTCTATGCCTAATCGCAGACCATACCTTTGAATGAAAGTGATAATCCAATACTAGAAAAGTTGATGATATGCAGCCGTTCGTGGCGCAGAGGAGCGGCCTGGACTAAAAGGCAGTTGCGTGACTACACGACCGTGCAGAAAAACACTTTCGCCTGCACAAGAGCAGCCAATTCGAGCATCCGAAACCGCAATCACGCCTATACGCGACTCGAATCTGCTTTAATTAGGTCACCGACCCAGTGAAGATAAGCTAGCTTAGCCCCTGTGAAAGGATCCATCTTTCACCATTCCGACTGACCGTCGCTATATGGTGGTAGGGTTATCATTTGCATACTCTTTAGCTCGTCATGGTCTTCTGTTTTTTGCACTGGGTCTCTCTCCGCCATCGCCTTCGACCGGAAAGGTCTTAATTCAGCTTAACAATGAGCACGCGACTATGCCAGGATTACAGTCAGGAAAATGTACTGACCAAGCAGTACGCATAGGCTAACGCCTGTGTCTAAATGTTGAGGCACTGAAACGGGACATTATAACGATGTGGAAATATGACCCCACCTCCAAAGTTGCTCCGACTAGGGAGAAGGAGGTAACGACCCTTCCCCCCCCCCCCCCCCCCCCCCCCCCCCCCCCCCCCCCCCCCCCCCCCCCCTTTCACAATTTCTCAAAAAAAACTTTTATGTTTTCCCCCCCGAAAAAACAACCGCCCCCGGAAATTGCAAAAAAAAGTTAGTGTCAGCGCTGTCAAACAGCGGAAAGGAATGGGCAGAACGGACAGGGGGGAGCCTAGTACCAGCGCGGCTCGTACACTAAGAAGATTACTGCCAGCGAGAAGAAGAAAATCTTGCGAAGAAATACGACACGATCTTCCTTCTCGCTCACTCCAACGGTCAAATACAGTCCTAGCCTTGACTCGAATCCTAGTGCTTCAAGGCAAAAGGTGACCTTACTGCTTCTCTACTTTGGCCTTCGACTTTTTTTACCTTCGACTTTTCTTCACCTCAACCACCAGAAATTATCGTCGAAGTTTTCTCTCCACTATTTGCTATCAAGCATAGACGGTCTTCAACTTGGTGGGCTGCGACCATCTAGGAGGACTAGCACAATTTTTGCTGCCTTTCTTGTAATTGTACGGGCAAGTTTGCTTCCCTAGACTAGTGCTTCATCCCCCCCCCCACTTCATGCAGTCTTTGAGGAAATACCCACCTGATAATTGCTGAGCAAGCATCATCATGATAGCGATCGTCATCGGCCATAGCAATGATCCACGGAACATGTCAACCATTGAAGGACGTTGTGCTGCTGCCGCTCCACTGGCTGCGGCTTCTTCGCGGAACATTTCAATTTCGGCGCTCACCTGAACAAAAGCGAGTCAATATAGAACAATATTGACGCAGAAATACAGTAAGCACTAGCCTACGGCTCCCTATAACTCACATCATTTGTCCCTCTCAATTTCTTCAGATCTCTGGTTGCTTTGTCCTGCTGTCCACGAACGCACAGCGTGTATTTGGGCGATTCGGGAATCATCGGCAATGTGATCACTTGCAGCACAGCCGGTACGACTGTGAACGCAAAAATCCAGGGCCATCGCTCTGTAGTACCAAGTATGTACGGTAAGCCCAGTATCTGAAATGCACGTTCATAAGCCAGAATGATAGGAAAATATACAATTTTCCAAATCAATAAGCTTAGAAGACAGTCACATCCCATAAAGCCCTTTTGTCATTCATTCAGACGCTGGAACAATGAAAAGTTCTCTAACAGCTTCGGGACA